TACAGTTGCACAATGCACGGCAGGTGAATTACCAGTTATTCCAACAGGTACAACTGCACACGATCATCACATATCCAGAGTAAATTGGAAATAAAAATGTCGTGAACGCAACAATGGTGCCATCATAACACGACTGAACATCAGCTCTACAATGACAGTTTCATAAACATTACGCATCGGCGATCAGACAGTTTGGTATCGGGAATTACAAGTTGGATAAATCGCAAAAACATACAATTATATGGGAACAGGGGTTGAGACGAATTCAGCTGTGTGAGGATACGGGAACAAATATATCTCTGGAAACGAACGAGCAATTTCACTGTTTTTTCAATGTTATTGTTGGGCGCTAGAGACAAATAAAGGAAACCCTTGATATGCACACAAATAAACCAAGTCAATGCTCTTTTACGGCTTATCAACTTACTCTATAAATGACGGTTAGATTTATAAATTTGGTATTCGCATTTAGGGTTGCAGTGATACAGGAATTAATGACTTGAACTCACCAGAAAGAGCACGTATCTATTACCCACTGAACCCGAAGGAGATTTACAACAGTACTGTGCTGTTGGTTCCCATCCTCGCTGGCTCGATGTGCAAATAGTATAAAACACAAAGTTTCAAATGATTTGAAAGAAGTTCCACTAGAATTCAACTTGGATAGGATATGAAACAAACCAGTTTATAACTTATGATCGACTGGTTCCTGGTGATTTACTCGTGGGTCACTAACTCTTTGTGTTTACCGCGATCAATGGACACTGACGATACTTTTCAGAGTGAATCAAATTGTGTTCCTTTATATAGTACCGGCAATCTCCTGCTATATCATTATTCAATATTTACTGAGTTGGTTTTTGACCGACGTACGGGTTTACCATTGACCAACCATTATGCAATGCCGCATTTAGCCAATGATGTTTCAGCTAGTGTGATACAAATATGACATTGATCACTGACTGGATAACCCTTGTGAGCAATGTACGAAATGTATGCAAGACGAGGAAGAAGTTGCCGATTTGCAATTTAATGATGAAGTCGGTTGTTTACAAACCTTGTATACATTTCTCGGTGTCCAATAAACTCACCGCAAATAATTTCAGCTTTCGTAGCCATTTCTGTTAAAGTCACGGACAAATTTGTGACACAAAGACTATTCTCGCCGATGTGACTAAAATTAAGTTCTTATTGCACTAGCGTACGCTATCTGGTGGATGGTAATCGTGGTTGACCTAATTGGCAAGCGGGGCTGCGAACTAAAGTGTTAGATATCCACTCGATCAATAACCGCGACGCATCTGTGCGCACGGGTGAACGATAATCGCGGTTGTCCTTGTCACTGATGAAACTGGAAAGTTTTCTCACAAAAGGTCATTGTAACAGTTTCGACCCGGATGTAACGACCCCTTACTGCGTTTGTGCGATGCACTTCAATTCCGTGAATCACGCTAAAGCGTCACATGCTGAGTTTAATCAGCTACTGAGGTCACGACCAATACCTGCAGCACTGATTTAGACCATTGATAACCATGAAGCAAGTATCGATCAGTTTCACTATAAAACAAAATATGGAAAGACGTTATGGTAGACATCTTTCACAGCTAACAATGGGAGCTAAGAATATGCAAAAGAAGTCCGTGTATTATGTGAAGCCAGTAGCAGATATTTTAATTTTCGATCATGCGGTTTCCTTTGAACACCGTTTGACAAGCGAACAATGCATTACATAACGTAGGTACTATCTATTTTGAAATATGTTCTTTTATTCTGACGTCCTTATCGTCAAGACCGTTGTAGATCAGGGTGGAGACCGTGTACTGTGTATTACGACTGAAGGGGGAAATAGTGAAATCCTAAAATAGGTATCGTGTTATGGAAACGTCTTCAATGAAACGTTAGGAGCTTGGGGATAAACAGAAACTCAAAACTCCAAAAACGTCTCAATACCGAGGTAAACTGTTCAAATTTAAGCTGAGGATATCTTCGGTACATAAATAATCATTGTGATTAATTATGTAAATTCTGCTTTAATTAAACATTAGGTTATAATAAGCAGTGGAAAAAATACCAGAATTAACATAATTTCTCTGATCCTGCATATCTTGTTACACAAATCCCAATCAGTCTCAAACTATTTAAAGGCATCTACTACTGATTGACATGAAATATCGCGTTTTATGGAATTTACCCATTCATTTGATTTTCTGAAAGGTGGGATATAGCAGGAAATGGTCTGCACATATTTTTGCTTTCATTAAAAATTTGATTACTATGGCAATCTCCAACATAAAATCTCATACAGCTTTAATTAGAACCTTCAGAAACCCAGGACGTATCTGCTCACCTTATTGCTTCGCCTTAGAGAGAAACCTTCATGCTGCTCAGGCGTTCATGGTGTTTCGATTTCTGTAATAGCTCTTTAATGTCGTACCAAGTGCTGAAACGATATCAAATGTTCTTTGAAGAATGTTGTCGAAGGCCTATTGAAAAATATTTTGATGATTGTTGTTTCCCTCTTTTGGCCTTCCTACAACATTTCTTCTCACTCTGTGTGATTCGTGCAACTTCAGTAATTTCCGAAGTAGTTAAATCTATTTATCACGTAGTACATTTGACAGATCTTGTGTCTGTGATGCCAAGCAGAATGAAATAAAAACACGTTTACTCTTATAAATCGACCCAATCGTACATGGCAACGCAGAGCTCAGCGAAGAACTTCATCTCAGCAAGCGCGTTTTTCTTAACTGCATAATCTGAGTAGCTTGCTTTGAGAAAATCATACTACAATTGAAACTGAAGGAGTCATTAGCTATAAACATGACACAGGCGTAAAGAGTCAGTTTGCATACCTACACGCTAGAACTAGCGCGATACTTGACATATACGCCCTGCAGTTTCGTTGACCTTTGTCCAGCTGTGACTCCGGTGAAGCCGCCATGACTTTCGACTTTCGTGTAAGGGAAGATTGTAGATCCCCACTGCTCCTGCTCCCGGTTTCGCAGCTATGCGTCTTCGAGCTTGTTAAATTAATGGCGCTTTTGTATTAGATCAGCGATGCTTTCATAGCATTGCTCGTGTCTGGTGGAAACATCTTGTGAGGGAAGACGAGGTTTTTTGTCGTGTTTTTAAGTACCGATAAGCTTACTCTAAAGGAAGTAATCATTCTGTACCACCTTCGATGGACCGATCAAGTTTTGTATCTGCCTATGGTCTACCTCTCTGTGCTCTCTTTCTACGTACTGGACAGGACTGGAAGAAGCCCCGTGGTGGCCAGACAATGATAGTGCGTGGAGGTTTGCATTGGTTTAAGTTGATGGAAATCACATTCCAGTCTGGGTCCCTGGGGATGAGGATGGACCATGGTCAGAGAGATAGGACTCAGACTAGAGGTCCTTGACCTGATAGTTTAACGCTTTGTTTGCTGAAACCACATCTCTTTTGATAGAAAAATCCATCAAAATTTGGCGGTGAAGTTAATGAAACAATTGTTGGAGTCAATCTTTCTGTTCTGCGTTACTTTTATCATTTTTTCAGTTCACCTTTCTGTACCCAATACCTATATACAGTCAATCTCCTGCTATGTCGCACCCTTGTGAAGTCGCATTTTCCAATATCTTCCCACTTTTTCGAAAACCCAAACCAACCGTGTGTTTAATAAGGTAGCTTCTGACATTGTGATGTCGCGATGTCGCAGTTCCTGATACCTACTCACTTGGTCGTTGACCGATGTTCAGGACGACCACCGACCATCCACCCTGAAATGTCGCACTCCACCAATGGGGTTGCACCTAGTGTAACGCGTTCATGGCATCATTCACTGACTAGATATCCCTTTCGAGGAAGTCACACTGATGTAAGTGATCAGAGACAGTGTCATTTGACGTCAAAATGTGCAAACGCCTATCGATTAGAGAGAAGCAGAATTGTTGGGAATGCTGAAGCAGCCATGTGCAACTCAGTGCTCCGTAGTCAAATCACTTGGAATTCCACGAAAAGCTGTCTACAATGTTGTATCCCATGGAACAACTATCGGGGAATTTCGAACGCTGGAGTATCTGAGAAAAGATGCCACCTGAAAACCAACAAAAAGTTCAAGGCAGTGAATAAGGCAACTTTGGCTTGGTTTTCTGCTATGAAGGAAAAGAACGGAAAGTGCCCAATGGTAAAGAGCAGCGGACGCAAGAAGGCTAAACAGCTAGCACAAAGTTTGCATCATAATGACTTGAAGGCCTCCAAAGTTTGGTTTCGCTCTTGATCAGACAGATATGGTATTCAATCGTACATAGCAAAAAACAAGCAAACCGTGTGTATTTCTTTATAGGTCTGTGATGAACGTTTAGCGGTACCACGTGATGCAGTGGACGAGTTTCGAACAGGTTTACCGCAGTTGATAGATGGATACACTGACTGTGATATTTTCAATGAAGATGAAAGAGCTTTCTATTACAGGCAGTACGTAGAAAGAACATTAGGTCTGAAAGGAAAGACATTTTCTGGGTCCAATAAGTCCAAAGAGGGGGTCATTTTATCGCTTTGTGGGGCAGGATTGGAAAAAAGTTGGTGATTGGAAAGTTTCAAACCCTTCAGAGCCTTTGAGGTATGGATAGAAAAAGCCTTCCATGCAATTATAAAACATGAATGACTTCTACATTATTTCACAGTTGGCTATCTGATGTCAACCGTAAAATGGTTTCTCAGAGGTGCTCTATTTTACTATTTGTGGACAACGCCCCTTGTCATAACCAAGCCGCAGTATTCTCCAATGTCAAGTTGCTTTGGCTGCCTCCGAACTCTTCTTCAATGTTACAGTCCAAGGATCAGGGCGTGATTTGTTCTTTCAAATGTTCGTTTCGGAAACATTTACCGGAATATGTTTTGTCTCTGATCGAAGATGAGCAACTTATCATGAAAGCCGAGGTGGACAATCTCACGGTCATGTATCGGGTCAAGAAAGCTTGAGTATATCTGTACAGCCGCACGTACTGATCAACGCTTTCATGAAAGCTGGGTTCAAATCCACATTGATTCAGCCGGTGATGCAGCCACCAGAAGATAAATGCGGTCTGATCGAGGAATTTACTCATAATGTGTCAATTGATGACCATCTTTTTGAAGAAATCGCCTGTTTGGAAGTTGATGATGAAGTGGGTTTTTTTAATGTTGTTTTAAGTCTCTGTTTAAGTCATTAGATTAAATCGTTTAGAATCAAGCTAAGCATAGCAAAGAAGAAGATGAATGGGAGGCGATGAATGCGTCGGAAGTTATCTCAATCAGAGAAGCGCATAAGTTATTGGATCAATTGAGGCTGTTCGCCTTGGCTAATGCTCGGAGTTCGGGTCGATAATTGGAGTTTCAATTGATTTAAACAGCGCGTTTGTTTCCAAAGGAGAGCCAAGCTGAGACAAAGGATGATTTATGATTTTGCTAAAAATACATCTTTATAATCTGCAAAGGGAATTCGCAATTCTGTTGGGCACTGAACTGAACTGTGGAGCACTCGAATGTGGTTATTCTTACTACTACAGCGGTCAACAAAGCCGCGGTCATTTGGTCTGTAAATGACCTCTATCGCACTAACGTGCAAACGGATGAACGCTAATCGCGGGTGAGTGGAGTGAGATGTCAGATCCGAGCGATCCATAACCATCGTCCAGCGGACGCAACTGTGTGAATGAATGAATGATACTCTCACTTGTCCTGGAGCATCGATGAAATTGGACAGGTCATTTGCCAAATGTCATCGTAACCCGGGTCTAAGGACAGTGAGTGAGATACACTTTCGGCTTATGAATCGGTAATGGCTTGAGAGTTGCCGTAATTCCTGTAGGCTGGCGTCTATGACCTTCCGTTGGCTGAACAGGAGTGAGTTTCTTCCAGGTAAACTGCCAGAAAATGTGCTCGAGAACCCGCTTAAAAATAGTGCGTGTATCTTAGACGAGTGAAACGTTGGCCGAGTGTCATCATCGCCTGAACTGTTTTTTATTCCCAATTTCCCACATGACGTATCGTTCGACAACTGATTCCCCTTTGGTGATGCTCTAACAACACTTAATCAGCATCCGATTCAGAACTTATCCGCCTCCTATGCCGNTGCCGGCCCGAAAATCACACGACCGATCGGGTCCATTTATCGATCTGTCGGATAGGTCACCGCAACAAGAGACCTGGCGCTTGCCCACCTAACCCGAGAGAGAAACCACACCTTGTCAACAACCGCGAGTCTTTAGCAGGCCCAGTGAACTTTAGCTGTGCAGCAGGCGTGCCTTCGCCACACAGATGGACTTCACATGACAACAAGATCATCATAAAATTACAAGACAATGCGAAACAATGGAGTAATCGAACTATCGTATTATCCACATAGCAACATGACATCTTAAATTGAAGAAGGTATGGTTTATGAATCACTTGATGTCATCGCGTGTCGGACTTAGTCCGACCAACAACGGTCATGATGAATGCATCATTCGGTTTGAATATACGCTGGTAACAACAAAAGCGAACGAACGAACAGATGTCTACAGACGCTAATGGTACACATTTTTCACTAGAAAATCATGAATGGATTGCACAGCGAACAATTAGTTTGAATATGGGAAAGAATTCAATGTTTTGAGTATAAGCCGTAACAGATATTTCATTCATTTTAGATGTTATTTTTCTCTCACTGTATTCGAACTGGTTCAGCTTTATTTTCCTTGAATGGGTTAAGACTGATGTGATGATTATAGCTAAAACACTTGTTTATTATGTAAGGCGTCATGTAATCTATTCTGTGGTCAGCCTAACATTGCAACGGAATGGAGGAATAGATGGAATTATATTGGAATAATTGGGTCAAAAAGATTCCCCTGAAGTAAGGTAGGCAGTTTCGTTATACCTAAACACATAAAACTGAAAAAGTGCTGATCACCGCATACCATGTACCGATATTATTCTGAGGGTGTCATAAAGGTTTAAATTTCTTTGATAAATAAAGGATCCGCAAGACGGTAGATCTAAATTTCGTTATAAATAAACAGTTTATAATTATCAACAGTGGGAACAATCAACGGGATTAACCTACTTTTCATCCGTCCGTTTTTTTGTCACAAAACCCTCAACCGATTTTTATACTACTTATTAGCATCTACCAATGTTTGCCCTGCTATTTATATATATAGCAAGTTATATTTCTATACAGCATATATATGGCAATATATATATAGCATATATATATATGTATAGCAATATATACAGCAATCGTAAAATCTCATACATGTTAGTATGCAAGGAAATCAATTTGGCCACACCTCGAGCAAATTGTCTACTGTACCAACAGCCCTGAGTCACCTTGTTTACCCTCTATTTGGAAAATTCTTAGAGTCATCGTATCTCTTGGAAATGAAGAAAATTGGCGAGTAATATGTCCCAGTTACCTCTTATTTGGAGGTACGTTCCATAGCGTGTTGCTCCGTTATTCATGCACTGCTTTCCTGCGATTTGCCCTTGTTTGCTGGAGGTTGATTTGTGGTAAACCCTGCAATAGACATTTTATTACGTATCTGGAGTTTGTAAATAACACTTTACTTTATAGCATCTTATTATGATGCGAAGAACTTTCTGCTTGTAAATGCCATTCATTCATGTATTCGCTCCCCCACAATGATGCACAGAATTTGCTTCCTGCCATAACTTACGCAATTCTCGCCATATAAGTGAAAATTGGTTCCCAGATAGCAATTTCTTTTGATGGTTCATTTGTATCCTTGTGTATTGTTTCAAACCGAAAAGATGATGCATGACATGACATGATAACATTTCGTTCAATTTGCTCACACATTGATGCAACAAACAAGTGCATGCAAACACTAATGAACCAATGTCTATACCTTTTCAACTTCAAGTGAATCAGTTGTAACTTCAAGTGAATCCAACCAATAGCACTCCA